AAAAAAAAGGGGGGGGGGGGGAGGGGAGGGGGGGGAGGGGGGGGGGGGGGGTTACTAAGGGGGGGGGGGGGGGACTCGTCCGGGGAAGAGCCGAATCTCCAGGCATGGGAGAGTGGAGTCGCAATGCTAAGTGGATTAATGTTCAGCAATAACACCCCCATTGTCCCTGGCCTCCTGCCCCCCGGTGCATCTCTGTCCACCGCCTTCTGCCAGCAGCATCCGCCCCCCCAGCTCCGCGGCACTGACGCGGAGGAACAACTGGAGAGAGGAGGGAAATGTCCCTGACAGAGTCGCGGATGGAGGAGAAGGTTAAATGGAGGGAAGGGAGAGGGATGGGGGGGCAGGCTGGAAATTGTGCCTTTGTTTTCAGATCCATCCATTATTGCTTTTTTATTGTTCCTAAGCATGTAAAGCTGAAATGCAAGCCTGCTGTGAGATGTTGTAATATCTAATTTTAATGAAATATCTGCTCGTCGACGTTCAGTGGCACATTCTGTAAATGGCTTGGCAGGCCGCAGGCCTCGTTATGCCAGCAGAGCTCGTTCCCAATTTGATTTGCGGGGGGGAGGGAGTGAGCAGGGGGCGAGGGGAGGGGGGGAGTGGGGTGGAGTGGGGGAGACGTGGCATGACTCAAGAGGACTATGCTCACGGCGCGGCTCCCGGCCCAGCGGGGGCAGGTCAGCGCGGACGGCCGGCATAGCACACAGTGAAGCCCAGGCGGGCGCAGGGAGGTTGGGAGGGGCACCGGCCAATCGCAGGCATGCTGACAGCCAGTGGGTGCAGCGGAGACACACTTACTCCCGGGAGAGTCTTCTGCTCGTGCAGGGCGCTCTGGGCCTTCAGGGCTGACTCTCGTGCGCAGTATGTCAGGAAGGCACATCCTGGGGAGAGACGGAGAGGCTCAGACACGTAGCCTGCCAGCCCCACAGATGGCAGCACTGACAACACTGCTCTCCTGACACCTTCCAGCTAAAGGACATCATTGGAAAACAGGCGATCAGGGGAGCAACCCTACGCAACGTAAAAGAAAAGGTCTGGGTGTCTATGGATATGGGATCACAGTATGGACTAAGGTCAGCACAGCACAGCACACTGAAGACAGGACAGCATATGGCATCACTGCACTAATTGTGCAGGGTGCCACCGCAACACGCCGTCACTGCACACGGCATCACTGCACTCACTGAACACAGCATCACTGTACATGCTTTCACTGCACAAGGCATCACTGTACATGGCTTCATTGCACTGCACTGACAGACACAGGCCCAGTGCAGTGGGAGTGGAGTGTCTACAATCCAGTACGGGTTGAGTTGGAACAGACAGAGACACCAACACACACACACCATTCTCTCACTCCTTATTCCCTCACCTCGTTCCTGTCTCTCTCTTTCTTCCTCTTGTACTCTTTCCCAGTCTCTCCCTTTCAGTCCCTCTCTGTCACCCACTCTCTCTTTCTCACTTGCTGTCTCTCCCCCGTTCTCTCCCTCACTCTCTCTCTACCAGTCCCCATCACCCTTTCCTTCTCCTTCCCTGTTGCTCTCTCCCCTTCTCTCTTTCGATTTCTCACTCCCCCCTCTCCCCCCTCTCAGCTCTCTCTCTCTCCCCGTCTCACTCTCATCCCTGCCTCCCTCTCTTTCTCTCTCTTTCTCGCTCTCACTCTCTCTCTCTCTCTCTCTCTCTGCTGTACCTTGTGCGTATGGCTTGGCGAGCTCACGAGTGCAGTTCCTAAACCTGTCACGACCACTAAGACAACAGGCAGGAGTTAATGTACCGAGATCCGCCATCACATGGCACATGGCACCTGCCCCCCCCCCGCCCCTGCCGCCCACCACTGCCAGTGTAGTGGGCGTCCATGTCTGGGTACCCTGGTTAAAGCTTGTTACGATACTGATCAATATTCAGAACTGCTACACAGATACAGTGGGGCTGGAGAGGGGACACACACACACACACACACACATACACACACCACAGGCTGCCAAACACATATTAATAGCCTAGCGAGGCAGTGCCCCTGCAGCCCAGCCCTGCACAGGGCTACATGCCCCCTGAGATCTGCGCACAGCCGCTGATTCCAGGCACCACAAAGCACACAGCATCACCCGCTGGCGATGGCCACGTCCCACACTAAATCACGCACATCTGCGCTCCAGCACTGGCTTCCCGGCCACCGCGAGACAGCACCCCCCCATTACTCCCCATCCGTCAGCTCTGCTCCCACCCATATTAATATTGACATCTGGCTTAAGTATAAGATAACAGGACTGGTGTGGGCTGCAAACCTCAAAGAGCACAGTCTGATCACCTGCCTACGACCCCACGACAAATTATATCATTTAAACCACAGAAATGTAAACATTACGATAACATATCTATGATCATCTCAGTTTCAGCTCAGCCTGCACATGAGTAGTTGATGCGAGCATCCAGAGAGACTTCTCCCAGTTTACAGGAAAGCCTTTCACTGGAACTTTCCCAATTATGGACCTTCTCAGTGGTATCACAGGGACTCTCTGGGGACTTAAACCAGGAGCCTTCAGATCGGTTTGGGGGAGAGCAGTAAAGGCTGGGATAGAGTAAAACCACTAATCTCTCAATTAGAGGCAGGAGATGCAGATGTTTCCCCACATAAGTCCTCGTTGCCCCCCCCCCCCCCCAGGGCTAATCGGAACAATGTATCTAGGGAGTGCCAATTGTTTCCTTGTCATAAAAAAGATGTTTGACACAAAGGCCCCCAGCGCTACGGTAACGTTGGATGGGGGGACACCTGCAGCACAGTGACACGGTTTGTGCAAACCCCACAGTGGTGTCCCCGTTAAAGGCTTGCTCACACAGCGGAGGGGGGAGAGGTTCTGGGTGGCGGAACGGGGGAGGGGGGGGGGTCAGCCATCGGCTGAGTGCCGAGAGCTGACACGCACACGCACACACACACACACAGGCACACGTGAGGCACGCGTGAGCCATGCCTGGAGGACACGTCCCCCGACTCCGCTTGCTCAGAGATGCTGGCAGCGTGTCAGGATCAGGGACGCTGGGCCTTAGCAAGGAGACGGGACCCCTGCCCTCCATCACTCTGGCCCCCAGTACAGAACCCGTCACTGAGGCAACCAGATCCTACTCAATGGCTCCCAGTCCCTCCCAGTGGAAGCTGCATAGTCACATAAGTACAAGGAGCGGAAAAAATATAGGTGGCCAGGGACTGGTAATGCTAAGAAGCAGCCATACACATCAGCCGCAGGAACACGGATGGTGTGGAGGAGGTGAGGAAGAGAGGGATTAAGAAACGCGGCCGTGACTCCGGGGCCGCCCTCCTTCCCTCATACCTAACTTCATTATTTCTTATCCCCGGGGTATAACGTGGAACTCAAACACCCGAAATGTTAAAAAAGAAAGAATCAAACAGGCGCTTGAAAAACGGGAACCAAAATGTTATTGTTGTGGGAGCCAGCAACAACGCATTTCACAAAACGCCTTAGTCATAATTTTGGTACAACGTACCCCTCCCTCATATACTCCTGTCTGTTTTATAAGCAATTATCTGAGTTTTGTACAACACATTAGCGGCGAAAAGCATCAAGAAAGGTAATAATGAAATGATCGATGCAAGGTGCGCAGACGCTAAATATGGACACGGATTATGCAACCTGATCATGTTTACATGTTCACCGTGCCTCCTGATGGCCAAGCGCGCTGGGGGGGTTCTCAGCTCTCAGCCAGGTCACACTCGCATCTTTTCTTTACCACAGATCTGTTTACAGTCCTGTCTGTTTGGGATGTGCCGGGCTGCCCTTACCTTTGTGCATGCCGGTATATTTGTCCTTTATCACCGTAAGTTCGTAGATCTTGCCGAACTGTTCAAAAATGGGCTTCAGGTCCTTTTCCTCCAGATTGCGAGGAATCTGCCCGATGAACAGCTTGATCGCGTCGGGCTCCTTCATTGAGACGGTGCGGGAGAGCGACCGACACTTGAAGAGGGAGCGGAGCGAGAGGGAGACTCGGGGACTGGGGACAGGAAGGAGGGGATTTTATTAAAGGGGTGGATGTCGGCGTGTGGGAATAGTCGAGAGCAGAAACACGAAGGATGGGAGGAGAGAAACAGGGGGGACGCGTCCTAATGTTGTCTTCATTTGTCAAACAGTGCGATTTTCACCATAAAAGCATCTCTAACTATGTTGCATAAATATTTAGGCTGCATATTTACCTCAAATGCGATAAAACCAATGGAAAAAAAATCATTCAATATTTTAAACGCCAGGAATCAAGCCCTGTTACTGGTACTTATAAGCTAATAACAATCATGCAAGCGTTCATTAGCTATTCAAAAATCAATTACATAATTTTACATATATTTAAATAAGATATGTAAAATACAAAATAATACTGGTTACGTTACCTTCTATTAATAATACTGTCTTCGGAGCCCCTGTTCAAATGTGAGATCTTATAGTAAATCAAGTGTAACTGTCTTTCTGTACGTTTCCTTTGTTTAACCAGCTGGACGTATAGGGTGCCTTTATGTCAATGTGTCTCTTCTCTTTGTCCGGCTACGTTAACGTTACAGCTAAACGCATACGTACAGACTATATGCAAGTTCGAACGAGCATCAAAATAAAATTTGGAATAAATTCAGAATTTCAGACACCGCTATTAAATCAGATATGTAATATTTTATATATATATTAGTTTCTTTGTCCTTATCTGTTTGTTTGGCTTTCTCTTATGTTTCTCTCCTGTTCTTCTTCCTTGACTTTATTCTGGGTTTATTTTAATTCCTTCCTTTTTTGTGGTCCTTTCCTTGCTTTGCAGTTCTAGCTCCGGTCCTTTGGAGTTCCCGTTAGGATTTCTGCGCTGCCAAGTGATCACCAGCCTACTGATAACAAATCCGTGCCTCCGTCTCTCTCCCTTCTTCACAGATGTCTGCGTGTGTCACTCTTTTTTCTCAGACCGTCCTTTTCACTCTGAAATCTCCGTCACCTCCCTTTACCCTCGTTCTCGGCGCCGTTACTTCTAAACCAATACAATTTCTTAATGCTTAACTTGCGGTTATTGTCTTTATTATTGCTTAGTGTTATTATTACTGGCTTTTGTTCTTCTTGTCCACAATCACGCCCCTTATATTTACCAATACACTTTAAATAACATTGTAATAACCGAGACTGTTTTTTGTTATCGTTTTCCTCCCGTGTTATCCCCCTTTTTTCTCCTCGCCGCTTTTGACGTCGTTTGCCGGTGTCTCCCTCTCTCTATCTATCCTCTCCTCTCCCTTGAGTTCTGACAAGCTGTGATGTAACAGGCAGGGACCGTCGACAAAATGTTCCCAGCGCGGCCCCGCAGAGTAAGGAAAATCGAAGCTGTACACATATGAAATGAAGGTAAACGGATAGACCTCGACCAGATAAGACCTGTCAGGAACGATATTAAGTGCAGTCTATTGGATAAAGCTGTAGAATACTTCCATTCGTGATTTATTTAAAATGTTGTATCTCGTTACAGGAAATTCAAAATTTGTTCGTTTTTTATCATACAAATAGCAACATATCAATAGATATAGAAATATATAAGGATACTCCCTGCGAGCTTCTATACTCGGTCCGGCCAGAAGTTTCAATACACAGTTTCCTCAGGCATTTTCAGTTTTGCGTTTTTCTCGGCGGTGGCGCACTTTGCCGGCGTGCCTGACATTCTGGCCTGCAGAGCTGCCTATTGTTCTCGCCGTGAGCTCTGACCGTGGTGCTGAAAGCTGCGCGTACGGTTTAAACGCGAACCGGGGGCCCCGGGCCACGCAAACGGGACGAACAGGCCCTGGGCAGCATCATGCACACACCGGCTAACCAGCGTCCAGCAATCAACAGTAAACAGGAAAATAATGACGAGCTAATACTACGCTGAATCAATGCAACTATACAAAAGCCTATTCATACAACAAAGGACGTAAATGTGTTTGCAACAGTAATAGGCTAAATAAATTATATACGTAAATATAGATCATGGTATATTAAAGAATGTATTAGTTGCTTTTCCCCTACACTTAAATATGTAATGGGTTTCTAAGTATGTAATGTACATTTTATGAAATATAATCACGCACTTAAAATGACAAGTATACACGCATGTTCTGTACCCCAAAAGCCATAAAATATAGGCCTCTGGTTCTGAAACACACATTTGTGTTGCTATTTGCCAGCTTGCCTCATATCATTCTGTAACTGTGCCTGTTTGGATGTTGAGAGTGATCTTCACCATCTGCTTTCCACCCGAAGCTCCCTTTGCCCTCCCCCAAAAAAAACCCTATTAGCACGAACATACTAAAGTTACGCCTATAGAGACCGTCTCCCGGTGTTACTAGTTTCACGAACGGCTGTAGAATGGACTCGGTAACCTGTTCGCGTGATGCAAGCTGGGTTTAATCTTCATCTTATTTTCAGCAACCCGCTGAAATCTGCGGACACAGAACGGCGACCCCTAGCGGCAAATTCTGAAACTTGGCTAAAAACGAATCCGGGATTCCTGTGCTTGGGGCCGGAGGGCGCGCTGGTTGTCGCTCAAGTTAAGCGCTTAATTGCCTTATTGAATAATGATTTGGGTAGTAATTTACCTCACCTACCGTTTCAGCCATCAGTCATAGATTAATTAAAACTAATCCCAGAACCTGCAGGACTACAGTCCCTACACAGCAGCATACACAGTCACTTGATTACAGACACAAGTAAGTTGTAAAAATTTTATATATATATATTGTGCGTGTTCACATTAATATATTTTAATATTTCGATTATTGAAAAAGCATTGCAAAATGTTAGGAATGAAAGAACACATACAGCAAAAAAGCTAATAAATTGACACATCAGATGTTTAATTAATCATTTATTTCAAACGAGGCAGTGTGATAACATTCCTGTTTATCTTTTGAAAATGTAAAAAGGACCAATCGACCTCAGCAGAAGTCGAACAGTAACATAGCAAAGCTCCTTCAGAAGACAAAAATAAATTATGTGTTTTTTTTATAATAGATAAATTACTATTGATTTTCTGCCTTTTAAATATAAAAGTTTCATTTCTAATAAAGCAATTCTTGACACAAAGGAAAATAAAAACACAGCGAATACACATCCATACATACACACGTATCTGGGTATTAGCGGAATCCGTAAGAATTTCATCATCTGTGTCAGACAGATGAATTTCGCTCAGTCTGATCCTGAACTGTCCGTATCCTGCAGCTGAGTCCCAATTAGTCCTCTCCACCACAGTAAAAGCCCATCCCTAATAACGCCACTGTTTGCCGTCACGATCATGTAAAGCCTCAACTCATCTCTATCAATCCTTCAGAAACCACTGGGTATGACACAACACTGGTGATACGTCACACAGGTCACTGAGGTCAGGTGTGATTTGCATACCTATTCCAGTTGGTGTTACATACAGTGCGTTCTTACCGCAAACATCAGATTTGTCCAGATACAGATGCTTTTGGGGTCCTGAAATGCAAAGTCATCATTTCACACGTGATTCTTAAACGAGAGGTTCTCGGTAATTTGAAATGCGAAGCCTTAGAAAATACCATTGATCTAACTGGCACCCAAAGCGTTTTCCCAAAATGAGTGACATTTTTATCCATTAATCGCGACCCACGTTGTACTGAGCACTTCAGGAGGAGCACAGCGAGTCCCCCCTCCAGCTGCTCCAAAATGTCTTAAAAACAAATGTGTTCAGTAATATATTAACACTTTAATAACCAAAAAAGTCTATTGCATTATATGTGAATTTCAATATCTCAGTTGCAATATATATTAATATAAATATATAGGGAGGTGAAGAGCATTAACAATTTTAGTAATGTGAATGTGGTGTAATATTTTTTTTTACCAGAAGAGAATATGTAAATATAGCCAAAATATATGTATAAAAATATAACATTGCCTTAAAAATATACTTGATACACGTGTGTGTGTGTGTCTCTAAACACCGAACAAACATCACAACAAAACAGTAACAACAAATGTTTCTATACATAAAATCCAAGCAAAGAGTGGACAGTGTGACATCTCACAGATCAGAGGGCTGGTTGGCAGGTACTAACATAGGGGTTAGGGTTTGGTTCTGGGCATTCAGAGAGACAATGGGAATCTAAGCAGGGGCATGTATGTCTGCGCAGACGGATAACGACGCGACACGGGACAGAGGCTGCGGTGCGGCCTGTGCACAGAATCACCCCTTTCTGGGTGAGTGATGCAGCTAAGGCACACTAATGCTGTAAACATTTCATTTCTCTGTGAAATTATTTCGTTTTTTGTGCCTCAGGGAAACATCTGTCCTGTACATTCAGAGTGATTAAAAGGTATTTTCTGCCAATATTCTGAGAGCAGGAGCGCTTATGTAACTTAGAATGGGGGCAAACGGTCAGGCAAAGGAGAGATGAAGTTTGCTCGTACTCAGTGACTGCAGCATGGAGCCGGACTCGCTCATTCCTACCTCAGGATGGTGCTATAACTACCATGAGGGTGATGGGGGTTTAGGAGACTAAAGTATTTCTCAGGCTGCTGGTTAACCTGCCCCCTCACCTCTCCACTGAAATGAATTTGCGTTTCCTGTGACGTAACCACCGCCGTGACACATGTGACACAGCGTTACTCATCCACGGTGTTGGGGTACAGTTCCGGTGGGCCCTGTGGATACCCCCATGGTTGCCATGGTTGCCCGAAGAGTGAGGGTCTCCACTGCCCGCTTCTGGGATTTCCTCTTTGGCGCATATGAAATGCTATGTCAGAGAGCAGGGTGCGAGATGGGTGTTACCTACACGACAGGGCAGAAAGCACACTTCCAGGGAGTGGCGGGGGAGGGGGGGGGGGTCACTGCCTGCGGGCCCTCTGCGTGCTCTGAGAGCAGGATGCACAGCACACTGTCTTGTAGTAGGAGTACACACAGAGGCGGGCCTGCACCACCATCATGCAGTTATGTCTCTTGTCCTTGCAGTTTTCATCTGGAAGGGGGGTCACAATGGGGGAGGTCAGAATGAGAAGGTGGGGAGCATGGGGCACTCAGGGCTGGGGGGGATGGCTGGGTACCTGAGACCTGCGGGCCGCAGGGTAGGGTGTTACACGGCTGTTCCCTCTCCGGCCTAGAGGAAGCGTCACAGGCCAGGCTGGGCCGCCTATCCACCGTCAGACAGCGCACCTCCCTCGTCTGGGAGCCTCTGCCACATGAGCGGGAACACTGAATGTTGGGGGGAGACAGAGGGGATCTCGGTGAAACGGGGGCGGATTCATCCTCTAGGAACAGAGGCCACGCCCCAGCCAGCCGCCCTCCTCACCGCGCTCCACTCGGTGGTGAACCACTGCGGCCCGCAGGGCCCAACCTCACAAGTCTGCACCAGGGCCGGCTTCTCCAGGTGCGCGCAGCTAGCAGATGGTGTCACGTTAAAATCGCTCCCCAGTTTCTGGACACAGATGACGTCCCGACGCTGGGTTCCATTCCCACATGAGGAGCTGCACTGTTTCATAGATAAAGATGCGATCAGCGGTATTAACATCCGCCCGGACGCCTTATGGCTATTGCAGCCTTTGTCTGGCTCCACCCTCCCCTTCTCACCGGGCTCCAGGGTCCAGTGTACCACAGCTCAACGGGGAGACAGCGGCCCCCATTGCAAGCCTTCATATCTAGTGGCTTCTCTCCCATGCAGTCACCTCCACCTCCCCCGCTGGACAGACACAGCACCTCCCGCCTCTGGATGCCGGGCCCACATTGGGCGGAGCACTAAAAGGAAGTGCGGAGTGAGAGAGAAGAGAAGGAGGGAGGAGAAGATGAAGAGAGAGAACAGAGACAGAGGGGCAGAAAGCGAGGGAGATGGAAATGAAGGAAGAGAGGCCAAGATGGAGAAGATTGGAGAAAGAAAAAGAAGACAGATGAAGGAGGGAGAGATGGAGGAAGGAGAGAGAGGTGGAGAATGGGGGTGAAGCAGGGGTCTCAGGGGTGAGTCACTTCTCCCGCACATGCTAAAAACATGCAGCAATTAACTTTTTTCACTTAGTGCTTTATACTGTATGACTCACCCCCCCACAAGCTGAGCGCCTCACACAGAAAGGGGCATGACCTCCCCCCCCAGCCCAGTTACACTCAGTCCCCTCATTACCTACTAGGTACAAACTCTGTGACCAGTCTGCTGGTCTCCTAGGTTACGAAGAGTAAATCTGTGCTATTCATATCACGCGGAAGGGGTCACCAGGTACTCAGTGTACTCAATGTGCTGGCACAGCGGAGCGTGATTTCAGCATACTCACAGTCTGCGTCCAATCAGTGAAGTACCAGTTTGTGATACAGGGCCCCATGTGACAGTCCTCTGTGCCCTGGGGGCGGAGCCTGGTACTGCACTCCCTGTCACTCACAATGTTGCCCTGGTTACTGACACAGCGGACACTGCGAGTCCTCTTCCCTGAGCCACAGTCCACGGAGCACTGGTAAGTGGGACAGGACAGATCATGTGAACGACCGCATGGGCACCGAGAACACCCCTCTCCTGCTGCTAATGGCGCTCGCCCACTCACTGCACTCCAGTTGGTGCGGATCTCCCACTGTGAGCAGACGCGGGGGTGGCACGGCTGTGTGGCATTGGGCCGGACCAGCGAGGAGCAGCGCTGGGGGTGCACCATGGTGGAGCGGTTCCCGAAGCTCTGTCTGCACTGGACCTGCCTCTGCTGGAGCCCGGAGCCGCAGGTGACACTGCAGTCGGACCAGGAGCCCACCTCCCAGCTGCGGGAATGTGGGCGAGGCCATGGGGGAAGGCAGGGGGGAGGGGGTATGTGCCCAGTAAGACGTGGATAAAACATGCTTCAGTAATTACGGCAGCCCACAAATCAGCTAGCAACAGACAGCAGCAAACGACTCTGCTTGTGTACAAGATTGTACCACGGTAATTTGTGACACGGCGGTAACTTCAGTCCTGCTTAGCGGCGCAAACGGCCAGAAAATCCCACGCGTCAGGAAATCACGCCACAGCGGCAGCTCTATTATTTAAGGGGCCAGAAGGACGGAGTTAATTCTGTTATGCTGAGGATCTAATGAATTCCTATTGATCAGGTCTTTAAAGGCAGTTTTAAAGGGTCTTAACGTGTCTGTGAGCAGGGTGTCGTCCTCACTCAGTTGGGGGGGGGGGGGGGGTTCTCTGTTACCCGTCAGCAGTCATCGCAGACTGGATTGGACGACAGCCAAATGAGGCGTTTTTATCATAAAGGATTTTGATGAAATTATATCGCACCAATACCTAGAGGTGACATGTTATAGGAAAAAATTATTTGGATGAATGATTGGATGGATAATTTGGTGGTAATTTCCACTATTCCATTAACAGCGCACAAACACACACACAAACACAAACACACACATGCGTACAAACACACACACACACTTACAATGGTGGACATGGGTGGAGGTTACAGGGCTCCTCCTCTGTATCTGGCTTCGTAGCAGAGTCACATTTAATTTCTGGCACTTCCTGTTCGGTGTGACGGTTGACACAGTACACAATCCTGTGCTGAGTGCCTGGCGGAAATGGCAGAGGGGACATTAATCACGTGTATTTAATTAACGGGCCTTAGCACTGTGCTGAAAAGAGCAGTGTGGTGCAATTCCTTTGGTAACCACATGGTGGCGACATATTACAACAAGACTCGAAATAGCAAAGGCAGGTTTGACCATACTTGTGCGAACACAATTGTAGCCAGACATTGGGAGGTTCAAACCCATGTATTGACACACATATACAGGTGAGGGTACAGAAGTGATTGGGAGATAGATGTCAGTACTAATGTAGCAGGCGGCAGCTACTGACCTTTGCCACAGGAGGCAGAACACTCAGTGAGCAGGCCCCTCCTCCAGATGAATGGCGGCTGCGTGTCGAGAGGCTGGTCGGTGCGTGGTGGGATGCGGGCGTTGCGGCTGGGGCCCAGGCCTTGTGCCCGGGGCTGTTCAGGAGCCCAGGACCGTGCCGCGGGAGACAGGGCAGGGGGCGGGGCACCGGGGATGGAGCTGTCCAACACCGGAGAGCGGACACCTGTAGGGGGCAGCAGAGTGAAAGTCAGAGACAGTGAGGTGGATGAAAGTGAGGAGGAGAGGTGAAGTGGGATGCGGGGAGAGGGGGGGAGACAGAAAGTGAGGGGGAAAGAGTGAGAGACAGAGAAAGAAGAAGGGAAAGAGAGAGAGGGTTTAAAAGCCAAAAAAAAAGCTGGCTTGGATTTGCGTGAAGGTTCAGCCGTCAGTGTTGCAGACAGACTGACAGAACTCAGGGACTCACTCCAGGCCTGTCTGCCAAACTGACTGGAATTTCAGCCGCGTCTGCCGTGAAACAGTCAGACATACGGTAACGATTCCCAGTCGCGGCTGGAGACCCGGGCAGCGCTCACCTATCTCCTGGCGGAGGCCTCTCTGCTCTCCGCCCTGCTCGCTCTCCACCGGGATGTAGAACTCATAGTCGATCCCTGGATTTTTTCGATGGTGGATGATCTGCCACACGGAGAGAAGATCAGGGAAGAAATCACAGATTATTCTATCATCATAAAAAAGTTCCAGTAATTCCCCAGGCATACTAAACCAAATATGTAGCAGAAATAAAACAGATCACTTATATTTACCACGAGCCAATAGCTTAAGTAATGTGAATATTCAACCAATCAGAAAAAAGCACACAGAAGTTCCATCACCAATCAGCAGTGGCATTACTCCCCAGCAGCTACTTACATAGAGCTTCAGCAAAGTGCTGGTGGGGCCGGGGGCCATCAGTGTCTCCCCCGCGCCATCGTCCCTCCCCTCGGCGCTGGCCCGTGGCCGGCTGTAGGAGAAGGTGGTGCCCCCCGCCTGATACTCCCCGGGAGGGTCCACTGCCCAGCGGCCATTCACCACAGACTGGCCTGTACCACTGCGCAGAGCTGGGGGGGGGGTGGGCAGGGGGTCAAACAGAACCGACACATTCCGGAGGATCCAAACAAGTGAACCACCGAGGGCATAAATGGACCCAGGACCGGCCCACATATATGGGCCGGTAGAAACGCATGCAGGAGTCACATGAGAATCGCTCCATGTTTTGCTCTCCAATGCAGTGTATTCAGAAAGTCTTCCTGGCATCAGTACATGACATAAGCTTTGTACAAGTGCTGCCAAGAAATTAATGGAGTCTGCACTCTGTTTGATCAAAAAATGTCCCCCTCTGTAATTTTCAGGCACTTGATGGAGTCTCACCCAGGTAGTTGGGGCTGGCCTTCCTTTCTGTGATGTTGATGGCTGTCGCTCCCACGGGGATGTCCAGGATGTGATGGTAGCCCAGGGGCACGCTGGTGTCATTGAAGGTTGCGGAAACTCTCCGGCAGGATGCATCCCTGCCCCCGCATACACCGCACCGGTCCCGCACCAGGCCTGAACCCAGAATGCCATCACAGCCCTCGCTCTGGCCAGAAACGGGGGGTGTGGGGGGATAGGGCAGCACTGGTGAGATCACAAGAGTCACGCTGCCAGATGTGGCATCCCTCCCCCACAGGTCCAGTGACGTCCTATTCGCCCTGCTTACCAGGCAGTGCCCACCCACGCACACGCCGGCCACGGTGCTGTTAACGCAAGGCGTGCCATCTCTCACCGCATCTGCCTGCCGTACGTAGAATCGGAAACCCGCAGGCCGGCAGGTGAGCTCACACTGTTGAACAGCACCCACTGAAAAGGAGACAGGGAGCAGTCGCAGTGTCGGATACAGAGTGTTTATCAGTGTCTGCTAAAGAGCGGGTATCAGTGTCTGATACAGTGCGGGTATGAGTGTCTACAAAAGCTGGGTTTCAGCCTGGTAAAGAGCAGGTATCAGTGTCTGTTACAGAACAGATATCAGTGTCTGATAATGATACAGAGCGGGTATCAGTGTCTGATACACTGCAGGTATTAGTGCCTAAAAATGCTGGGTATTAGTGTCTGATAAAGAGCAGGTATCAGTGTCTGATACAGAGTATCAGTGTCCAATAAATGCTGGGTATCAGTGTCTGATGTAGAGCGGATATCAGTGTCTGTTACAGAGCGGCTATTAGTGTCTGATAAATGCTGGGTATCAATGTCTGATAAGGAGTAAGTGTCAGTGTTTAATGATGAGTGGACATCAGTGTCTGATATAGAGGGTATATAAGGGTTTCTGATACAGAGTGGGTATCAGCGTGTTACAGAGCGAGTATCAGTGTCTGATAAATGTTGGGCATCAGTGTCTAATACAGAGCGGGTATTAGTGTCTGATACAGAGCGGGTATTAGTGTCTGATACAGAGCGGGTATTAGTGTCTGATACAGAGAAGGTATCTGGTAGTCAGACATGTGGGTCATGCTCTATGAGAAATGCTAGTTGACATTCATGCGTTCAGGAAACCAAAAGCAGACTTTATATAAAGCGAGTCTGTCCCTCCCGACAGAGTGGGGGGACCTAAAAAGGGGAAAGGAAGATGGATGGAATGAGATCAAAAAGTCTGTGAAGGAGTTGTGAGTGGGGGGAGGGAGAGAGTCTGTGTAACTCATCACCGGTATCCACTTGAAACAGGTGAAGCGGTCAGGGAAAGGCGAGGGTGTGTCAATGTGGGAACGAAGCCAGGTGACCTGCTGCCAGCTCTGAAGGCAGCAGCGTATTGGGGGTGGGAACAGGCATCCTTTGATCGCCTGGCTCTCCCACTCTGCGGTCGCCAACCAACCCGACTCTGCCCCGCCCCCCTGTCAGGATCCGGACACACAGACACTGCAGGTACACGCACCCACGGGGAGGCCAGCTTCTCTCCCATAATGCACCAGTGGTCACTTTTGACTTCTGAGCACGAGTGCCAGAAAATGTGAAAGAATGTTCCCCCCCCCAACCCCCCCCCCCCCCCCCCCCCCCCCCCCCCCCCCCCCCCCC